AGTGTGTTGGCCTCATTACTTGCAGTACATAATAGTTAGGTACAAAGAATGGCCTCATGACCATCCACATTGTTTTACAACAAAAAGGTTTTATATCTAAACTTACGCCTAATATAATGAAATATTTATAGAGATAATATTTCAGATGATCACGCAAACTTATTGAACTTTTTTAACATAAAGTCACTATGCATGGACTTAACTTTGTAAGTAAATCACATGTAGATGAGTGATTTTCTTTGAAAAGAGCCTATAATTGAGTGATTTTTGAGTTAAAATTATATCTTAGTGACTTTTTCTGAAAATATCTCATAATTGATGAATGACTTTTGAGTTAAAAATTTAAAATTAAGTGACTTTTAGAACATAATGATTAACTAGTGGGTAGTTTGATTATTCTTTATTTACTAATTAATTTATTTTTTATTTTCTTACCTTATATTTTTAATTTTATTTTTTGTGTATAATTAAAATAATCAAAATTAAATCGAATCAAAATCAACAATAATCAAATTGATTTGTGACATCCTACTTAACCATTTGTTCATTTTTCACTTGTAGTTTTCAATTCCCATATGTCTGTAGTCTCATATATCTCATGTGCAAGCAATTCCATGACACATTTGTGGTTGTCAAAGCTTTTTCAAGAATCTCTTCGTTGTATTTTTAGATGTGATATCTCAACAAACTTAATAATACTTGAACATCAAGAAGAGTTTGTATAAATTTTCTATTAGTCCCTAACTTGAATTTAATAATGCTTAAACCACATTAGTCACGAGTAAGATTTTTTTTTTTTTTTAATTTTGATACATTTGTGGTTTGTCAAGAATTTTTTAATAATGCTTGAACATCAATGGTAGCTTTGAATTTTCTATCATGATTTCTGAATTAATTGTAAATAATTAAAGATAGCAATAGAACAGGGCGAGACAGATTTGAATCATATGTGTGGTGGGCGCGGGTAGATTTATGCTGAGTTAGAAAATTTATGCGAAATCAGACGACTAAACTAAAAGGAAATATTTTCTTATTTATTTATTAATTAATTCTTCAAGTTAGTATATTTATTTTCTTATAAAGTTTTCTTTTGAATTATCTTTTTATTTATTGTAAGCTGTTTTGAAATTCACTAAGTTATTAGAATAATTTCTAAAAAGAATTCATTTGGATTAGCTGGAAATTTTCTATGGAATCACATTTCACTTCTTTTGTTTATTAACTTGAGGGCTTCAACAATTTCTTTTAAAATATTTATTGCCTACACCAATTTGTGGGACCTAGTCGTATTTAAGGTAAACATGGTATAATGTTAAAAATTTTGATACGATAATTTTGTTTTTTTAGAATATTATATTATTACTATAACAAATTAATTTAATATTATAAAGTTCATTCAATATTTTGTGGTACAATTAATTGATAACTATCTCTCCCAATATTATATTAATTGTTGTCTAATCAAACTGTTAACATTTATATATATTTTTAATCTGGACAGCTTTGCATGCTCTAAAATTGGGCACCTTTTTTTGTAAGTTTCATTTAAATGTTTGTTGCCTATAGCAATTTTTCAAGAAAAAAATAATAATTAAAATCTGGACAGCTTTGCTTGCTCTAATAGTTGAGAAAAATTGACAAATGATAAATAATTGAACAAGTACTGCAGTATTGAAAAATGATAGTAATAAATAAATTTTAAAAATAGGTGGGAATGTTTTCATTAAAAAAAAATTCATTCAATTAAAAAAAATTAAATTATGCGAGATCACGAATTTACGGGAAGCAAATTTATGCAGGATGAAGCGAAGCGGGTTGAAAATAAAAAATTATGTTATATGCAATCGAACTGGATAATTTTTATTTTTTTTACAAATTTATGTGAATTAACCCTGCAATCACCCTGTCCCACTCTATTTGTCATCTCTACAAATAACAAGAAAAGGGGAAGCTGTGCTTCACACGGGCTCAATTATTATTTGAAATTCGTAATTTTTAATCGTGATAATTTTTAAAATACAATAATATTTGTTTTTTCTACTAATAATATCAACAATTTAACATTAACATTAGAAATCAAAGGAAATTTATGAATAAAAAGGCTGAGAAATAATAAGCAAATGTAATTTCTTAGTTAATAATAATGCAAGAGACAACTAAACCAAAAGTTTAAATTTAAATCATAGGAATATTTGCTACATTTTAAGTAGTACTTATTTAGTATGATTTTTTTGATAATGTTACTATATAAGAAATGTGGATAAGCAAGTAGCACTCCGTTAACATGCTTGCTTATTCACATCTCAAACAGACAAACAAGGCTCACTTCTCTATTAATTTGCAATTGTCCCATTGTATTGCTCGTACATATTTACATAGCAAAAAGCCTTGGGGTCACTCAGTCAGTGCCCACTTCTCTATTAATTTATTGAGAAGTGGACCCTATTTGAGTGGGCCCGTGCGAAGCACGACTTCCCCTTTTCTAGTAACTTTAGAAACGTGCATAATTAATATATGTATAAATTATAAAAAATTATGTACTATTTATGTAAGATTGAAGATGGAATAATTAAAATAGAAATAATTAAATTTTAATAATTACTATTTATTTAAAATTACATAGTTAGCATATCAAGGTTTTTTAATTTTTCTTTTCATATTTTATCCTCAACATTAATTACTTATTCCAAATCATTTTTCAAAATGTATAATTATATGTCAATTAATATAAATATTATGATAAAATAGTTATATTAATTTGAATTTAAGAAGCTATAAAATTTAAAATGAACATTTGAAGAAATTACAAATATTCAGTGGGTCCTCAATTGGAAGGCAAATGAACAATATTCAAGTGGCCCAGTGTTTTTTTACTGTGTAAATATGTATAAGCAATACAATTACAAATTAATAGAGAAGTAGGCCCTGTTTGAGTGGTCCCAAGACTTTTTGCTATATAAATATGTACGAGCAATACAATGAGACAATTGCAAATTAATAGAGAAGTGAGCCTTGTTTGTCTGTTTGAGATGTGAATAAGCAAGCATGTTAACGGAGTGCTACTTGCTTATCCACATTTCTTATATAGTAACATTATCAAAAAAATCATACTAAATAAGTACTACTTAAAATGTAGCAAATATTCCTATGATTTAAATTTAAACTTTTGGTTTAGTTGTCTCTTGCATTATTATTAACTAAGAAATTACATTTGCTTATTATTTCTCAGCCTTTTTATTCATAAATTTCCTTTGATTTCTAATGTTAATGTTAAATTGTTGATATTATTAGTAGAAAAAACAAATATTATTGTATTTTAAAAATTATCACGATTAAAAATTACGAATTTCAAATAATAATTG